TGACCCAACATGCGTGGTGCAGTACTTCATTTCTCTTATGGTTGTACGGGTGTGCGATCAGGTCGCTGAGTCTGGAACTGGGATGTACTTCATAGCTAATTTTGCAATCACGTCAGAAATTTATTCCTTTTCAGTGCATTGAAATTGGGTTTGGTCTTGATTAGGGCAGCTTCAGGTTTTTTCTCTTGTGTTTGTCATGTATTGTGTAAAATTTCAGCACTCCCAATTTATTGTATGTGATACTTCAGGTGTTGGGTCACACACATATGACCCTAAGAGTTGTGCCTATATAAACCCAGACTCTTTCAGTCTCCTGTATTTCCGAAGATGATATCAGACGGTGATCGAAGTGTACAATCTCCCTCTACACTGTTTTTGCTCCTATATAAGTTCCCTCAGTTTATCGGCAAGTATCCACAACACCTTGATGCTTCAGTGCATGGTTGTACATGCTGTACATACTATGCACATCAGTTTCCTACGAGACCACCATCAAAATATCCAGTGCTTTCAGCACATGCGTTTTGAGTTGCTTCATACAAGGAATCCATGTCAAGAACCCGGCCAAGGACCACTAACAGAACTACACCATGAAATAGCACAAAAGAACCAGACTCTCACCCGAAACCCAGTGAAATGGACGACCATCGGGTTTTGAGAGGTAAACCAGTAGCTAGCTGCAGCGGCTCATTGTCTACCATCACACAGACAAGTCACTTTAAGAGTGAATTCTTAGGAATGTATTACCCATGTCATCCACACATTAAGGCCTTTACTACGTCGCGGATAACGCTAATCACACCATCCACGGTCATGACAGACCGTGTGTTACTCAAAGCGCAGGACCATCGCCTGGGAAAACTCTCACAAGCATCACGAAACAACCCTCACTTTGAATGGCATGTTACTCAAATTGCTGTAGAAAGCAAAACAAAAAGTACCACAATCTCAAAGACGAGGCTGGGGAGAGTGTCAGACTTCCCAGTGGTGTCACAGGTTATATACAGGTCAAATACTGGCAAGGTATGAAGGTATCTGGGAAAGACTTCCTTGATATCTTTAGTCAGCCTAACCAAAGGAGACTGTCGTCGATTGGAATTTACGGAAGCCGAACTGTACTGTTTACATGAATGGCTCATTAAAGAGCTCTGTCTGCAGTTCGCAGCCGCCAGTAGTTCCAGTCTGGTTTGGAAATTTCCAGAACCACAGACTATCGCTAACAGTGGGGAAGTACATTATTCGCCGAAATAAAATTATACAAATCCGATGAAAAACAAGTGATAGAGGAGTAAGGTACGATACCATTTAGTAATTCAGTCCATTCCCTTCCAGAGCAATGGAAGTAGACGCAGATATGGCAGCAATCTTTGTTTTCTTTCCCAAATATCAGGCTATAAGGCTTCTCGGAGTCTGACATCTGGACAAAATAAAGTCTGAGGCGAGTATAATCCTGACGGATTATACTCGTTTATCTCCTAAATGGGAGCCGAAAAGAGGAAGAAGGAGTCACTTCAAATTGGAAATTGAAAATAATTTGAAAATGTGTTTTGAAGCTTTGCTGTGATGTCTTTTAGGAGTGGAGCTTTGCTATGATGTCTTTTAGCTGTGAGAGAGATGTCAGTCAGGAGCCACCACGTAGGAACATAGTCTACTACACAGGTCACAAACTGTACATTTACAGACAAGATTTTTCTCCTAACTGTAGGTTATTTGTAAACTAATAGACTATATAAATAATCTCTATATATTTCCTCAGCTAAGGTAATAATTGTTAATTAAACTATAATTTGGTAAATACTTTACAATGCGTATTGTTGTGAGAGTGAATGATTTATCTCGAATGCACTGGTAGATTATTCAGTCCTGGTTGCAATATATTATAACAACTTTTGTTTTCCTGAGCGAGATCTTTCATACCAGGTGACATCAGTGATGAGGACGCTGTACTCAGATGGCTAACGGATGACGACACGCTGGAGATACCAAACCAGATTGAGGAAGTAAACAAGCGCATGCTGGAGCGAATCCTCAACACATCAGAAAATGTTGCTGTCTACTTTTGTGAGTAATGCTTCATTTAACATTTTCATTATACCTTTTTTTGTCCTGAATTACTCATATGGGTTTTAGCGATTACTTATGAATAAATATGAATAGTAATAATATTTATTATTATTATTGCTCTCCTATAAACCTAAGAGTATGAGCGTTACTTATTAATTTATAAATTTCATATCTAGATAGTAAGTAAAAGTGTGAGTGTGGTGAAAGTGTTGAATGATGATGAAAGTATTTTCTTTTTGGGGATTTTCTTTCTTTTTTGGGTCACCCTGCCTCGGTGGGAGACGACCAACTTGTTGAAAAAAAAAAAAGTAAAAGTGTCAAGTGGTTTGTAATTTTTTGCCTTTGCAATATCAACAGATGCTGAAAATGACAAGAAGAGCAGGAAAATTCTCACTGAACTAGAGAATATCGACGATGAATGTGATGACATCGGCATTGACTTCGTAAAGATATCTGATGATGGTATAGCAGAAGAATATGACATAGTAAGCCTGCCAGCCCTCGTATACTTCAGAAACCGCTTCCCTCAGATATACGAAGGTAAAGAGCTACTTCCCTCTTCCTCAGGCGTTTCATTAATATTTTGAGACGTGCAACCCTTATATCTCGCATTAACTGTAAAATAAATAATTTAACAAGTACCACTGTAGGATGCTTCTACAAATATTCTTTTTTATATAAAGTCTCGTTAAGCTCAAAGTGTGCATCTACCTGAATTCCTCAATTTTTTGCAGGTGACCTGAAAGACGAGGAGGCACTTTTAGAATGGCTTATAGACAATAAGGACAAAGGTCCAGCCTCAATTATTGAAGAAGTTGATGGAAAAATGTTACAGAGCCTGGTGGACGGCTTCGAGTACCTCGTCGTTTACTTTTGTGAGTAGCATGTTGAGAGGTCTTGAAGGGTTTCAGTAGTAGTCTCAGGAATACATGCAAAATAATTGTGGTTTAAGTGTGAAGCAGCAAATGGATGTAATACATAACAGAATCAACAAGAGCATGGCATCGAGCATGCTGTGATGTAATGACTCCTTTCAAATTGCAGAGTGGAAAAAAATAGAAGATATAGATAGCATTCTTTATAGGTTTGTTTAATAATTAAATCATGTCTAAGCAGTTTATTTTAGTGTTAGTACCTTTATTCATTGTGTGGGCATAATTTGGCTAAATATCTTATGACTGATTTGAATGAATACAAGAATATTCTCATTCTGAAATTTTGAATATTTGGTAAGAAATATGTAGCATATAAAAATAGTTTTCAGAGGGGTCATAAGACTATGAATCATTTGAGTTGTAAGTAGTACAGGCAAGTTGTTTAGGCTAGCTTCCCCAAGAAATGTGACAGCTATAATATGCTTACCATTACAGCATGTGAGGGGCTCATGGACAGCTACTGTAATGTCTATATTTCAGTTACGTTACTGCAGGCAGCGCTATTTACGTATCGTTTACCTCCCAGACGACGACAACTGCCCGACGTGTGAGACTGTCCTGGCCGAGCTGGAGACCATCGATGACGAGACGGACGAGGTGGGCATCCAGTTCGTCAAGACCAACGACGTCGATGTCGCTGAAGACCTAGGCATCACTCATTTACCAGCCCTCGTGTACTTCGAGGGTGGAGTGCCTAGCATCTACGATGGTAATTGTCGGGGCAAATGTTTAAAAAAATATATAATCCTGGACATGCTGAAAGGGATCATAATTATTAAGACTTTTTAAAATGTTTTTACATTTTTTTCTGTCAGGTACGATGAGTTTCTCTAATATCTTCTGGTTAAGAAAGTGTTAATTGTGTTAAAATTCCAATAATCATGTGTTTCCCTTGCCATAACTAATATAGAAATAGGATATAATTAAATGTTTTTTAAACTCCTAAATCCTGATGCTTCAGAGCATGCTACTCATCATAATTTAGTAGAAAACTGGCTTAGATAGACATCACCAAGCTAGGACATTATTATCATCTGGTAGATCTAGTGCTAATATTTGTCTTGCCTATAACATTTGAAAAGCGAAAAAAAGGACAAATGTATATTCGTGTTCATAGTATTAATTTAATGTTTTACTAGTGCTTAGCTATTATAATAATGACTTAACACCCTACAAAGTGGGGAGGTCAGGGATTCAAAGCCCCCAGGGTGACTGACCTAATACAACTATGCTCCTCATTAGGTCACGTCTGTTGCATCCCCAGGTGACATCGCAGGGAATGAGGAAGTCTATTCTTGGCTTATAGCGGAGACACGTAAGCAGAGCTTTGTTGTTGTAGCATCCCTCAGCAGGACTGACATGGCTCCCGGTGGGCTTCCTCCTCCCCTCACCGCCTGCTGCATCAGGTTTTAAGTTAATGCTGACAGTTTATTATATATTTAGGATAGCTGCGCATGCTTTCGTCCAAGATCACCTGAAGTGTCGTTTCCCAGGGAAAGCAGTAACCTTAAATTATGCGGATTCTTAGATTACGGGGATTTAGCAGTTTTATATTATACAAATTTTAGCAAGGTTAGGTTAGATAACTAGGCTAATTTTGGTGCAAATTTAAAAATTAGCATAACTTCTTTTAACTGTTGTCTTTGGGACGAATTTTCAGGTGATCCTTAGTCTCTTATAAAAAAAATATTAATGTTCTGGATAACTGGGAACACGTGAAAGTGAGGAGGAAACCAAGGGAGGCAAAGTCCTTAACCAGCCTAAGATGTAAATACGTATATTAAGATATTTTCTACACGATATAAGGTGTCCTTTGCATTGCATAGTATACTATAGTTATTTTATTTTGAAAAGTTAGCCCTATGGTTAATGCACTCATTGATGAGGTTACCCAGCACTTTTTTTCGAATATTAATATGAAACGCATTACCTCACGAATCTGTCCAAGTTGGGCGATTTCATGCTTCTACTAGTGGTTGTGCTAGCATGGAATAAAATAGTAATGACTAAAACGAGAAGTGGTTGTAACCCATGCAAGTGTGCATGGGTTATTTGATTCTCCCCTCGAACCCCTTTCCCGAGGAGAACAATCAAAATAAACCTGTTAGAAAGAAATAGGACGTAATATCCGCTATACAAGACCAGTAGTCCCGTACATTTCAGTCCAGAGAGGTAAGGTCTCGTGGGTGTGATCTTACCACACCTCATCACAGCCTGAATTTATGTATTCTGACATTATATTATTGCGTTTTAAAACCTAATTGAATTATTTAAATCAAATATATAGGGCCAAAATAAACATAGGAAATTCAACACGAGGATTATGGGAGGATCGAAAATTCATGGTAGGAGAATTAGGCTCTTAGGACCATATATCTGTGTTTTAGTGCAAGACATTTAAGAGATCATTTAAAGGAACAAATATAAGTGAAAGATTGGCGTTTTTTCATATATAACCTCTGTCATGTATCATCTCCATGGCTAAATAGTTGTCTAATCGAACTCACTTAATAGTAATAATGATTATATTCTATTCATGGGAAGTATTAAACCCTTAGGGGTTATAAAACTTCTGGCAATGGAAGGCGATTTGGATTCGAGGAAGAGAAGGATAGGTTCAGTTACTATGATCATGACAAATATATTTAATTCATCTTGTAGCTCAATGTAATATTTCTCATCGTTTTGATCACATTATATTTTTAATTATTCAACAATATATCCACAGAATGACCCACACAGTGTTTTTCCTGAGTATTATAAAAAATAATGATCAGGATTACATTACTGACAATTTTTATTAAAAAACATTGGGTACAAAACTAAATATATATGTGGTCTATATTTAAATGTCTGTTATTTAGGCTGTAGTGAGTCCTGTTCAAGGGGGCTGCCTAGAGCCTGGTGAAGCGCTCTTCATTCAAGGAATTGGACCTTCCCTACTTCCTAGGATCAAAAGCGATTACCTCCCATTTCCCAGGCGCTGTATAACTCCCAACGAATTTAGCGCATACAGCAGTTTTCATTGCCAGAATGCAATAGAATGTAATCTCTTACTTACACCGCAGGACTGTTTTAACTTGATCAACGGCTTTCAGTGGGGCAGTCAGGATTTCAACCTGGGGAAAGAAATCAAAGAAATCTTTTTTAAAAAATGTGTTTTTCATTGTGTATGTAAAATTTCTTAAATTGTCGTGTTTTCGTCGTCACTGGTCAGTATAATACGATAAAAATTTAGCCTTTAGTTTAAAAAAAATCATATGGGAGGCCTGACCTCCATTAGCTCCCACCGTGGTTGCTCCACTGATTGCTTTAATCGCTAAATTTATTAATGCTTAGCTGCACTTTGATGTTAGTGGACACCTTGTATCGTTGGAGAGATGGTCACTGTATCATTCTCAGTATGATTATTTCAGGAATACTAGAGAGCCCTCAGGTAGCCTTGAATTTGCGGCATCTATTAGAGGTAGATGAAGAGGCAGGCGGTGAAGGTGAGGATGATGAAGCAGATGATGATGACGACAATAAGGCTGAGGAGCATGGTGAGAAAGATGAAGGTGATGTTGAAGAGGCTGATTATGACGATGAGGCCGGTGTTAAAGATAAGGCCGATAATGACAATGCTAAGGCCAGTAAAGGTGATGACGATGATAAGGTATATGATGATTATGATGTCAGTGATGATGAAACCGATGATGACGATGAGGCCGACGATGATAGCGATGAGGACAATGATCAGACCGATGATGATAATGCGGCCGATGATAACGATGAGGCCGATGATGATGAAGTTGAGGATGATGGTGAAGCTGATGATGAAGATGAGGCCGATGATGACGAAGGTGAGGCCGATGGTGAAGGAGACGTCGATGATGATGATGAGGCCGATGATAAAGCAAATGAAGGTGAGGCCGATGATGAGGCAAATGATAATGCGGCTGATAATGATAATAAGGACGATGATGGAAATGAGGCCGATGATGAAGATGAGGCCGATGATGATGTTGAGACCGATGATGACGATGAAGATGAAGACGATGAGGCCGATGATGAAGATCAGGCCGATGATGAAGATGAGACCGATGATGAAGATGAGACCGATGATGACGTTGAAGATGAAGACGATGATGAGGCCGATGATGATGATGAGGCCGATGATGATGTTGAGACCGAAGATGACGATGAAGATGAAGACGATGAGGCCGATGATGAAGATCAGGCCGATGATGAAGATGAGACCGATGATGACGTTGAAGATGAAGACGATGATCAGGCCGATGATGATGATGAGGCCGATGATGATGTTGAGACCGAAGATGACGATGAAGATGAAGACGATGAGGCCGATGATGAAGATCAGGCCGATGATGAAGATGAGACCGATGATGACGTTGAAGATGAAGACGATGATCAGGCCGATGGGGATGAGGCCGATGATGAAGATGAGGCTGATGATGATGAAGATGAGGCCGATGATGATGAGGTCGACGATGAAGATGAAGACGATGATGAGGTGGATGTTGACGATGAGGCCGATGATGAAGATGAGGATGTTGAAGCCGATGATGATGAAGATGAGGATGATGATGAAGATCAGGCTGATGATGTTGAAGATGAGGCCGATGAAGATGATGATGATGTTGAGGCCGATGATGAAGATGAGGCTGATGATGAAGATCAGGCCGATGATGTTGAAGATGAGGCCGATGAAGATGAGGATGATGATGTTGAGGCCGATGATGAAGATGAGTCCGATGATGATGAAGATGAGGATGATGATGTTGAGGCCGATGATGAAGATGAGTCCGATGATGATGAAGATAAGGCCGATGATGTTGAGGCCGATGAAGATGGATCCGATAAAGACGAGGATGATAACGATGAAGAAGAGGATGAGGCTGATGATGACGATGAAGACGATGAGGCCGATGATGATGAGGCCGATGATGAAGATGAGGCCGATAAAGACGATGATGATGAAGATGAAGACGAGGATGATGAAGATGAGGTTGATGATGATGAAGACGAGGATGACGATGACGTAGAGGATGATGATGAGGCTGATGATGACAATGAAGCCGATGATGACGATGAAGACGATGAGGCCGATGATGATGAGGCCGATAAAGACGATGATGATGATGAAGCCGATGAAGACGAGGATGATGATGAAGATGAGGCTGATGATGACGATGAAGACGATGAGGCCGATGATGATGAGGCCGATAAAGACGATGATGATGAAGATGAAGCCGACGAAGACGAGGATGAAGATGATGATGACGATGAAGATGAGGCTGATGATGACGATGAAGACGAGGATGACGATGAAGATGAGGCCGATAAAGACGATGATGATGATGAGGCCGATGATGAAGATGAGGCCGATAAAGACGATGATGATGAAGACGAGGCCGATGATGATGAAGATGAGGCCGATGATGACGATGAGGCTGATGATAGTGATGAGGCCGACAGTGACTATAACGAGGACGCTGATGACTATGAGGCCGGTGACGACGAGGACGATGATGACGAGGCCGATGATGATGAGGCCGGTGACGACGAGGACGATGACGACGGAACCGATGATGATGAGGCCGGTGACGACGAGGCCGATGACGATGAGCCCGATGACGAGGAGGACGATGATGAAACCGATGGTAATGAGGCTGGTGACGAAGCCGATGACGATGAGCCCGATGACGAGGCCGATGATGATGAGGCCGATGACGACGAGGCCGGTGACGACAAGGCCGGTGACGACAAGGCCGGTGACGACAAGGTCGATGATGATGAGGCTGATGACGACGAGACCGATGATGATGACGAGACCGGTGACGAGGAGGCCGATGATGAGGCCAGTGACGATGAGGCCGATGATGACAATGACGAGATCAATGATGTGACCGATGACGAGTCTGATGATAACGATGAGGCCGGTGATGACGAGGTCGATGATGATGAGGCCAGTGACGACGAGGCCAATGACGACGAGGCTAATGATGATGGTGATGAGGCTGATGATGAAGCCAGTGATTTGACCGATGACGATGAAGCCGACGATGATGAGGGCGTTGATGATGACGATGAAGTCGATAATAATGATAAGGCCAATGATGATGATGAGGTCGATAATGATAAGGATGATGATGAGGCCGTGGATGGTAACGATGAAACTAATGATGACGATGGTGAAGCTGATGAGACCGATGATGACGATGAAGCCGATGATCATGAATCTGATGAGGCTGAAGCTGATGATGACAAGGCCGATGATGACGAGGCAGGTGCTAACGATAATGCTGTTGAAGCCATTGAAGATGGTTATGACAAAGGTATAGAGGCTTTTGAGGATAATGAAGCAGATGACGACGATGACAATGCAGTGGAGGCTGAAGCAGATGATGGTGAAGGGGCTGAAGATGAAAAAGGCAGTAAGGACGGGTGAATGAATGGGTGATCTCACCGACAGTAACTTGGTGCTGCCGTGCTTTCCTTTGCTTCTTAACACATATCGTCCCATCACCTGTTTTTTTCGACCTAACAGTCCTTACAAACACTGAGACATGTAAGACTCTCAGCTTTCCACAGTAATCGAGAATTTGCACACATTAAACCAAAGAGACAAAATGTCTCCTAGACTAGATTAGATTAAGCACTAATTTTACGTCTGATTTAGACTTACCATTTGCCTAAAGCTTACTTATTGGCTTATCAACACATCACCTTCATCCATCACAAAATTTTGTAAATTGAATGTATTTTGATTGTGATCTAGCTAGCATGTAGTATAACGGAGACTGAAGTGACAGACACTAACCAGTCAGCAGTATCATGATACTGACGACAGAATGCAACGATTGACAGTTCATTTTTCGTTTAGCAACGCCGTCCTCACGTCGCTAGATAAGCACTTTTTAAACTTCAGCACTCATTTTTTTAGTTATGAGTAGAAAACGTTTAGTAGCCTAGTTTCGCTCGCTGTAGTTTAGAAAGTTAAAAATAATACTTAATTCATGTGCGATATGAGGACGGGTTGTTTTTATATTACCTAGAGACTGACAGGGAATAGGTGATAGAGTACTAGCCAGCAGCATTTCTGCTATTGTCTTTGCATCTCGCTTGTTAATAGCAGTATTACTGTGCATTCATGTGGAATCGCTAAGTCTGTCAATACAGCGCTCGGGGAATGCGAGGTAATAAGATTTGATTCAAGGAAAGGGAGGGCATATCCAATTCGTTGGGTCAAGACCTCTTCACCAGCACCAAGGAGCCTACTCTTGAAGGGCTGAAGCTTATTAACACCTTTAAATTACTGTTTCTGTTAGTTTTGTGTAGCCTTTAGCGTTATGTTTTCTCGATTTCCTCAAGGGTGCCTTGTGGCTTCTGAAGGGTGCTTGTTCCAAGGAACTGGCGATATCTTTCCCCTGTCTTAAATGCAACTCTCATAACCACCCATTTCCCAGGCACTGTATGGCCTCTAGATTTACCAACAGCCTGGCTAGTTAGAGACTGTGCCGCTATTAGCGGCTTGGAGTATAGTGTTCAGCATGCCTTCTGCTGAATGACCGACACAGGTTTAATAATAATAATAATAATAATAATTATTATTATTATTATTATGACCCCGTACGGGTTTACCGCTTCCCCATGAATGTAGTAATTTAATTTAACTTCTTTTGCATGAATTCGTTTGATGTGTTAATAGGCTATATGATCTTTATTATTTTTCTATTTAACCGCATGATTAATTTAACTTAAACATTAAGGAAACATTTGTGTGCAGTATATTGTTCTTAGTTATCTAGCCTTTCATTAGCTGCTGCTGCTTAATTAATGTTACGCAGTAGTAATTATTAAATGTCTTCTTGAAGACTAGGTCAAGGACAACATAGATATCATGACGTGGTATATGCCTGATGCATGAGTCAGAATGACGAAGCTTCCACAATATCACATAAGCTGTTAGTGTGGTATGTTGGGTGTTGAATGGCACAGACGTAGTCTGTTCTCATCTGCTCTCACTGAAATGTTATCAAGAGTTCTAGCATGAGCTCTTATGTTGCTTACTATTAGGGCCTGAAGGGTAAAAAAAATCATAATACGATAACTCGAGCAATCATCAGCTATCCCGCAAATTGGAAACGAAAACCTGACGACGTTTCGGTCTGCTCATTATTAAGTCACGAGTGGAAATGATTCTGGATGAACTGAAACATATCTAGTTTTTGGTTTGTTGTGTGCTATGGCCGTCTTTACTAAAATATTGACGGTCGTAGCATCTACTTTCATGGTCATGGATTGTACAAGCGGTTACCAAATGAGTTACCCTATAATGGACAGAGGCTATACATATATGTAGTTACGAGACAGTGTCTTGTTTTTCATAACTAGGGATTCTTCAAAATAGCATTCGAAAGTGCATATGATAGTTAAACTAATACTTTTAATACAGCTTCTCGGCTGTCTATTTTATGTAACTTCAACATGTGTACACCTCTAGTGGTCCGTAACACACATCTAAATCCATACTCCAAATGTGGGCCACCATATTCGTGTGACTTTTTTCACTTCATCATTTATTCTATTCTAGTACAGAGCGTTTTAAACACTGTGCTAGAAACCATAATCATTCTCAAACCCTTACAAGAAATTTAAATGCATGATATCAGGGGAGAGTGGGGGCCCTTTGATGAGAACCATCATACCCAGTCTGTCCGAGAACTTCACGATACTATAATTGATATTGTATACAGATAACTGCATTTTCATATCATTTACCATATTGTTCTACTAATTTTTTGAAATTGGAAAATAACTGTGGAAACACTATTAAAACGAAATTTATTTTATCTATTTATCACTGCCTATGGGTTTTGCAGACATCTGCAGAAGCCATGGCCACTGTCAGCATTTACTAATTTGGGAATGTGTGTGTATGTGTGTATATACAGGTGATATCCAGGCAGAGGAGGAAGTGTTGGAGTGGCTGATAAAACAGCGTCACGAGGACACCATCGAGAATATTAACCGCCAGATGCTTTACACCCTTATCGATACTCAAGACTACCTCGCTGTCTACTTCTGTGAGTTACGTCCTATTTCTCATATACATGTTTAATTACTGCATATGTTTTATGATGTTAAATTCAAAACATTCTTGCTTCATGCTCAGTAATTTCACATTTGAAAACAATGAGAAAAATACATACGTAGAATAAGATATAATTTACTTTTTTTTTTCTTCCTCTTGGAATCTTTCATCATTTTCTTCCCCATAGTTAATGAGGAGAATGACGAGTGCCCTAAGGTGCTGCGGGTGCTGGAGAAGATTGACGACGAGGCTGCAGAATATGGCATCCAGATGGTGAAGATGAATGACAGACTCATGGCCAAGAAATATGGCTTCAGGAATCCTCCAGGATTGGTTTACTTCAGGAAGGCTAAGCACATTAAATATGATGGTAGGAGACAATATTTACATGGAAGGTGGCTAGGGATTATCATACATCATATACTGACAATGGGGGGTTATTTTTTTATGAATATTTACATATACTAGGCATCAGTGCTTTGGTAATAATTACCAAAATTTACATTGTTTCATCAATAAATAATTATTCGTAAAAAAAAAAATTGTGTAATATAGCATTTACACGATATTGTATACGCGATCAAGCGTGTTAAGTGTCTTTTCTGCATAATGCATTTGTGTCATTATAGGCGACCTCTACGATGATGAAGACGTGTTGGACTGGCTCACCGCCCCGGAGAATATGGAACTCAACGATGCCATTGAGAAAGTTAACCGGAAAATGTTCGAAAGGATCAAACAAACCACAGATTACCTGGCTGTCTTTTTCTGTGAGTTTATTTACACCTTTCATTAATAGCTATCATATTTTGGGCTTTTTTTCTTTGTCGGATACGCTATTATATACAAGTGTTTGTTAGTATAGCAACATTTCTCTTGGATGTTTGGTTCTGGCAGTCTGTTGCCAACTTTTTGTAAAATATGGTGTAATTTGCTATTGGAATCCTGCCAGCGAGAAGAATACCAATTACGTTATCTCTTCGGATACCCCTTCTAATTTTCCTGAGATAGTAAACATTTATTTCATAGTTTGGTATGACTAAACATTTGCTTGACGTTCCCCACAGACGCTGAGGAAGGGTGCAAGCAATGCCAGAAGGTACTTGCCGAGCTGGAAAACATCGACGATGAAGCTGACGCCAACGGGATTGACTTCGTTAAGATTGACGATCCTCAGTTGGCAAAGGAAGTCGGTGTTTATGCCCTCCCGGCCATCGTGTTCTACCGCGCCGCTAGCGAGGAACCTATTATTTATGCTGGTAAGTATAAATAGGCAGGAGGTGGAGGCGAGTTAAGGTTGGTGAGAAGAATGTGTAAAAACACTAAGAACAATAGTCACTACTCACGAGGTGTTTGGAGAAACAGCACAGAGCAGAAAGAGAGCAATACCAAGTAAAAAACAAACTTGAGAAACGGTAAAGGACCAAGCGTTGTAGGAAAATGATCGGAGATAGGATGGATTGGATTTTTTTTTTTTTTTTGGTGAACATGTTAATAATTGGAGTTCGAAATGCCTAATAGCACTAACAAATGAATGGTATCAGAAGCATTAAAATGAGGAGACAAGGGTACTGGATGCCATTATTAGATTTAATAGTTTGGAAAGCTTGGATTAATTCCAAGCCATTAATTTTGGCGAGTTTTGTGGTTGTACATTACTAAATTCTTAAAATTTAAAACTACAGAACAGTATAAGTCACCAAAATTATTACTTCGTATTAGTAAAAAATCAGCTGTTTTCTAGACAGTTGTTTGGCTGAATATTAGTGTAAGCGTTTTTCATTAGTATCTCTTTTTTAACCTCATTTTAAATAAATAGCAAAAGTGGTGTATTATTATTTTGTATGCATTGAAATTCAATGAATGGTGGCTTTTAAAGTATATTGCTGCTTCAAGATTTTTTTAATCCTTTGCATCTTTATGCATTTCATTTCTGTATAGTCATGTCAGTATATATACCCTGAGAGATGCATTTTTTCAGCGTATATGTACTGAGAGCTTACCTTGGTCCCTATTTTAGATAGTTTTTTTGTCTGGCGGTGAAAAGGTTACCGTGCAGCCTTAATGACCCTGGTGCAGTTGAAAGGTTTTAAGAACATAATGAAGGAACACTGCACCAGGCCTACTGTCCCATGCAAGATAGGTCCATTCACACTCATTAATGTACCCATCCAACCTATATTTAAAACTACCCAAAATTCGTCTCATTTGACGCTATCAGGAAGTTTGCTTCATTTATCTACAATTATATTAAACTTGTACTTTCCAATATCCTTTCTCAGTCTAATTTTCTGGGCCAGTAGACCTACTGCAGTGTTCCTCCATTCTTATGGTCGCCACCTGGAATGCATTGTTGTGAATCATGCCTTGTTGAGATATTTTTAACGCGCTTATATAATGAATATCTTTTTATATTTATTCCTGTTTTTCATTTGTACACTTCGGTCATATCCCCAAATTTTGCGCCTTTGCAAAGAGTGCAAGTGCTTTCAGCCTACCTTAGTAGGAAAGCTTTCTAATACATTTCTTGCCCAAGCAAGAAAAAGATAATGTTTGAAAATCAAATCTGTCAATAATCTAAGATGAAAATAGTGGATGATTATTTAGCTTTATATGTTACTTTAGCTAACAATAGGTTAATATAAATAATAGCTTACCTGCTCTTTCAACAGAGTTCTCATTTAACATATTAATAAGTTATTTAGATTAAATATATTTTCTTTAAAAGAGTGTGTAAACAAATGATGGGTTACTGAAAATTCACCCCAAGGACTACAGTTAACTACACTTAAATATTTTTTTTATATAACTGAAGAGATAACATGGTTAGGCTAGGTCTTTGTGCAAAATTAAAAATATCATATAAAAAACTGCATAATTTTAGGTAACTGTTTTCCTTGGAGGAAGAATCTGCAAGTGATCTTAAATAGTATATGCTTATATATAAGTAGTGAACATTATCCAATAATTTATATATTTGTTTTTGTGTTCGTTATGGCGTATTCCTGAACGACGATCCTTCACCAGGTGGTAGGTCAACCAGGTTGAGTGTCCCTATCTCAGCTTTAGCCATGGATTATTGTCTTCTAGCCCTGAAACTTTACCTTCAGGGTCAATCTCCATCCTCACAGCTTTCTCATTCAATTTTCTAAGTTTCTTAATCAGTCCTTATCATTCAACCTGTCTTATTAGCAGGCTTTTCTTATTGTTCATTATCATATATTTTCACCTGTCATACAAATGTATTAGAGATCCTGAGGTAAAGTCTTAGAATTTTGTTGGACTGGAACCTCTCATGGCCTACCCCAGTACTGTCAGTGTTACTCAGAGTAAGACTGTCACCTTGTGATACAGTGATGCGTGGATTTTTTTGCTGCCAACCTTGTACTGAAGTCATTTTCAGATCGTCATATATTTATTTTCAAGTCCCCCTAAATCCTGTTACTCATTTTATCTTTTTTTTTGTATCAGTTTATTTTCTTTGATCTGTTTATTATGCATTTTTATCAAATTTTATTAGTGCCTCTTACCTTCATCAAGTCATTCCATGGCACGACTGCATCATTAATTGTTTTACAGTACCCCATACATGGTGTAGTCATCAAATTATAACATGGGGCTGTCTTTTCTAACTTTGTCACCTGTTATGACCTAGCATGAACTATTATTACCAGTAATAAAAAAATGTTGTGTCATTCAGCATGTATAAAAAAACCATTGCACGAAATTCATATACACTTTTGATTTCTAAATTCGTTATATATATTGTGCCATTTCGCACGTTTTTAGTATATTAAACAAAAAATTGTCATAAATACTTTTTTAAATTTATAACTCGTAGTTGTCATGGAATATCTACCTCCTAGAGAAAGTTCACTTCAGTCATTAGAACAAGTTATATAGAAGGGTGGTACATACGAACCGCTGAAAAATGGGAATTTAAACACAATTAAATGTACCCTTATCTCTTGATCGTTAAGATTTCCGAATCTTTCCCTTCAATTTGAGTGGATATTTAAAGAAATTCAGGTTAGGTCATATGGTTCTTCATGTGATTCATATTTTGTTGGCGAATACAGGTGACATGAAAAATGAAGAGAATCTCCTATCATGGCTATTAACGGAGAAAGACCCAACTGCAGACTTCATCGAGGATATGGAAGGTGCTGCTCTTCAGCGAGTCATCAGAGATTCTGACGCCATTGCAGTTTACTTCTGTGAGTCAAACCTTATCACCTTAATTGTTTTGGAGAAACTGTATAGTATCGTTGTTTAGTCAGTTAAAGATTGAAATTGAAATGCTTGCATTTTATAAGTTCAATTTTATATGAAATTAAATTGAGATAGTCTCAAATTTTCACACCGGTAGCCCATATCCACCAATGTATCTTATTTCTTACTAGCATTAAGATACAGTACTTTCTTTTGCTAAGGAATCAGCGGTACTCTTATATGCGGACTAAAGGGTATTTGTAGACACATTTAGTGATTCTGTGTCTTAAAAGACATGTTATATGTCTAATACTTGTATTAATCACTTGATGAAATTGCGATAATTCAGATATTCTTTAATAATAAATTAGGTGATATTTACATAATTTATGGGTAAATATGCACAACCATCATTGCCTCTGTTATTTCTGAGAACTCGTATGAAATTTAGCCGATATGTATTTGCTAAAGAGGGATGCTGCAAGTTAATTCCACCAGCATGTTCAAAAACAGTTGCTGATGGTTTAATTTAGTTCACTGGAGTTTTTTATTCAACGGTATCATCAACTTCAGAGAGGGCGGCATCTTGCGTTTTATACATATCTAAAGAAACGAATTAGTGCTTACTAGAAGCACTTTTTAATAACATTTGTAGTTAAATTTACGTCTTTTTTTTTATACGTTTCACTTTTTTAAACTTAAGAATTATTCTGAAAAATTAAGTCAGTATTCGCTATTAATAGTGAAGTTTTTATCTAACCACAGTTTATACTTGCCTTTAAATGTTTTAGGTGGCATTATACTGAAAGTGATATATGTAGTTAGACTTGACACATTAACTATTAATTTTCAGCTGTGCTGAAGGTCAGATAGTAACGGCCTCTTTTGGGAGAGCTAATATGTATAATTTGACTAATACTGGTTTATTAAAAACAAAAATATTGTTTAACTGGTAAGCAAATCAGTTTATTTTATGAGAAACACACATCCCTGATTCCCATTACCTTTCCACTGTCTCCATGAAGATGATTTAGCTGCATGTGGCTGTAAAGAGACGGAGCCTGAAACTGAGAAGAAAAAGAAGAAAAGGAAGGGAAAGGCAGAAGATCCAGGAGAAACAAGTGAAAATCATTTGTACTACTGTATTTATATTTTCCCCTAGCCGTAAATTCCCGCCTCAACTACCTTTGTATTCCATCGTACTGCATTTAATATACTTCACAGGGCTATAGGGACGTGCCACGGCCTATACATTCCTTTGCAATGATGAGAACTCAGATCTTGTAGTTACTTATGTTTGCATAAATATAGCTAATATTTATGGCATATCTCAGTTGGATCTTAGTTCTCTTTTAGTAGGTCTACAAAACAAATAACTACATCGAACACCCCACTGGAGTAATAATAAAGAAAAAATGCATAGCCTAACACTGACCAGATGACACGAACACTGTTGTCTTAGTCTCGTGTAGCTAATCAACTTGTCCTTAACTCGTACATTAATTCGTACGTGGGATTAATATGGTTTCATTTGTTAGTGAATAACTATTAGAAAATAACCTTGGTGACTTATAATAAGATATAATTTTTTGGTGTAGTGCATGTCTTTGCAAGCTTAGACTAGATGCAGCATGAAATAGCAAGTAAGTATATGTCGGATTGTACCTTGAATGAGTTTCACATCGCTAAATGACCAACTCGGGTTTATCATTTTTTGTAACTATAATAATATTGTAGATGATAAATACACGAAAGCAATAAATGGGAACTTTACTGAGACAACGCAAAGGTTCCAATTACTGCTTAGTCTTTATCACCCTACAGTTATAATACCATCTACTATTACAATAATAAAGTAACGAGTCTTTAGATATAATCAGCTGTCATTGTCATATTGTTCGTCAAACTTAAATTCGTGTGCAATAAAATTTTAACTCTTGTGATTGCTTATCCAAATAAATATCAATAACATAAAGGTTTAACCTCTTAAAAATGTCGCCGTGTTTTGTCTGCACATATGTTCATTAGGTGTGTCATTGTGTCGTGTCTTGTCAAATAGAAGTGACACCGTTGTAGTGGTTTTTTCGTCGTGAAATTCAGCGAGCTTAACAAGCCAACATAATGTAAACTGCCCTGTCACATCACTTTCAACAACATTCAAATAACGTACTGTCGAAGATAGTGAAGAAAATACACGTTGCAGATCAAGCTTTTACAGTAGTCCAGGATAGAAGGAAACATCGTCTTAGGCTTCCTGTCCTAAGTGCGGGGTTTTTGGTGAATTGTTCTAGCCACGACTTTTTAATTCTTTAGTAATGTTCAGTATTTCGCCAGAAAGCTGTTTTCATACCTATTTATCCCATCCAATACTAAATGAGGTTTTTTTAGGTACCAATTTTCATTGACGAAGTGGGAGTACGCATGAGATAAGGTAGTAAACATGTAACATTTTTATAACGTATTCGGGTACACTTGATACTGAGCAGCTCACCCTCATCCCCTTCCTCTCACCCTCGTTTAACACCATCGGAATGGGAGGTGGGAAGGTATTTTATTACTGGAAATGTAACAGACCGGGTGGTTAAGATTTCACTTGCTTACTAGCCTGAGATAAAATACCTGCGAATTACCCTTCCTTCCCCTCCCCTTACCTTTCTCCTTCGTTGTACAAGAATGGTATACCATACCGACAAAATGAAATTAAGACATGCGCAATATCTGGGTATCTTTATTGTAGACGTTTCTCCATCCACTGGCTTATCAATACAAATTCTAGGACATAATTTGAAGACAGTAGAACTATATACAGAAGATGAGGTAATCAGTCCCTCAGCCTTGGAGTGAAGAGCACCGTAGTCGTGGAGGTTCTGGAGCAGAGGCAAGGAGGCTGGCGTTTATATACTAACGTCAGGTGGAAAGGGGACGTGTAGCAGACGAGGGCATAGTCACTGGTAGGCGGGATTCCCCAGTGTGGAAGTAGGTCATACCCAAAGAGATGGGTTAGTTGTAATAGTAGTTGTCGTAGCCGTGAAGAAGGTTATGTACATGTCCTCAGAATCAAGATTCCATGATGTTGCAGTGTCTGACAAGTTATACAAGAATGGTATACAATACCGACAAAATGAAATTAAGACATGCGCAGCATCTGGGTATCTTAAGAACATAAGAAAGAAGGAACACTGCAACAGGCCTACTGACCCATGCGGAGCAGGTCCATGTCCCCCTCCCCCCGGATAAGCCCAATGACCCCCCCTCCCGGATTAGCCCAATGACCCACCCAGTCTCGTCACCTCCACTCAAGGATGGAGCACTGCACCAGACACAGCAGCACAAGCTAGTCAGGTTCAACTCACACCCACCCACACCCACTCATGTATTTATCTAACCTATTTTTAAAACTACACAACGTTTTAGCCTGAATAACTGTACTCGGGAGTTTATTCCACTCATCCACAACTCTGTTACGAAACCAGTGCTTTCCTATATCCTTCCTAAATCTGAATTTTTCCAACATGAAACCATTGCTGCGAGTTCTGTCTTGGCTGGAAATTTTCAGCAAGCTATTTACATCCCCTTTATTTATTCCTGTTTTCCAATTATACACCTCGATCATATCCCCACTAATTCTATGCCTTTCGAGAGAGTGCAGATTCAGGGCCCTCAGTCTATCCTCATAGGGAAGATTTCTGATA